GGATGGGCATGTATATCATAAATGTATGGGGCTATGATAGGGAGTTTTGTTCATCATCACCATCATCTCTTCAACCAGCATAACTAAAAAACCGAAACAGATAAAGCCATGAAATTTGTAGGAATGTAGATACCCATAACCACATGTGCAACGTCATACTTTTTGTTTGTAAACAGCAAATAGCCCCCAGGCAATACATTATAATGGGGACACGTGTGTTAGTGTAACTCACAAATGCTTAGAGCTATGGTTTGTATACACAATGTATTCAGTGACCACTATCGAAAACACAACAATACATGTTTGTAAGCAACAAAAAATAGCATCAGGCAATTTTCTTAAATTACTTCTTCACTCCTCAAACTTGTTGACATCAGCACATACGGAGATGAAACTTGGACATATGCGTACTACATAGTTTCCATGACAACCACATATTGCTTGAGCAACAACAAATAGCCTTAGACCCTTTTTTTTATTACTTCTTCACTCCTCAAACTTCTAAACGGTAGCATACATGGAGATGAAACTTGGTATGCATCCATGATATATTGTTTTCCATGACGACCACATATTTTTGAACAAAAACAAATAGCCTCAGGTACTTTTCTTTCAAATTACTTCTTCAATCCTCGAACTCGCTAACGGTAGCACGCATGGAGATGAAACATTATACGCATGTGTATTACATAATTTCCATGACGATTACATGTTTGTAAACAACAACAGACATTTTCTCTATTATTATTATAGGGGGCTTGCCCCCTTTCACAGAGATATTAATAGTAGTATATAAAAATGAGTGGATAATGTAGGGATTGTGTGATAGGGTCGGGGGTGTCAGCATGCTCAAATATGTTCGTTAACCATTCTTCATTTCTTCCATCCCTATCTTGTCTCCTTTTGCCATCCCTATATGCATCTTTTTTAAAATTCGCAGGATTTTTAATTTACTTGTTACACTGAAATGCATGAAGTTGCTTGCCTCCCCTACCCGAAGCTGTCTGTATTAATTACGTTCACAGATAAGGGTGCGCTGAATGCTACTGATTTCGTAGATTTGCGAAGTATATATTCATAAAACTTTGGCACTATTGTATACTTATAGGTAACTAGCAGCTACCATAATCATCTTCTATATCACAGAGCCTCTAATCATGGTTGAGTGACCAAAGGCTAACAACATTAAGCTCTACGAATCTGAAAGGCTTCATGGTGGATCATATGGAGAAATTGGTGGGGCCAAGAATGATAGGCCACTCTTTGCTGCCAAAGCCATCCTCCCCCCACTCTTTGACAGAACAACCGCTTTTCTCTCTAAAAACTGCAAAGAATGTGATTTAATTCTCTAGTTAAGGCACCACAATGTAGCTCAGTACCTTGCTATCTGCTACAGTCCCTACACACGACTGCCTGTTCTCCTCACGGGACTTTGTTTTACAGCATTCCTGGAGCGATGTCCAGGACCACTGCCCTACCACATTCGAGTAAATATATGCCATGGCATAGCATTGGTGCTGGCCTACCTAAACAGCAAAAGCCTTATCCACAGAGACCTAAGAGGAAAAAATGTCATGATGATAGCTGACACTCGAGCCAAGATCACGGATTTCGGGATGTCTAAGCTTGCCTTGACCCTCAACCAATGCAATAAGCTACCTAAAGTTGAAGAGACAAGCATTCGAAAAGCATTTTTCGAGGAAGAGTATCATCTGCCCCAACTCAGGTTAATATTAGCTATCCCTCTAAAAGAACTACCACTTCTCTGTCTGAGCAATAAGGAAAGACATCTATCTGCTACCGAAGTAAGCAAAAGGCTGTACAATTTGAAACAATCCTCTAAATATGCTGAGAGCATGCATGAGCCACGGAGCGGCAGTGAAATCCACACAATTACAACGATAATCGGAGATAAGGGCAGGAAGGAAGCACATGAGTTAATACCTAATACAATAAGTATGCAACATCAAAAGCGGCATCCAAATGTTGTCGTAGGTCGATTGAAACAGAAAGACAAAAGGCTTCAAGTAGATGAGGAGTTGGTTACGGAGTTTCAGGATAGCCTGCAGCAGAAAGGTAAGACTGGCCTAGAGCAGGCCATATCAGACCATGAGAGAAGGTTTAAACAGTTGGAGCAGGGAGACACCACCAGTAGAGACAAACCACAACAGTACCCAGTCACAGTGTCAAAGGCAACAGCTGTGGCAACTAAGAAGGATATCAGTAAGATGAGGTGGAGGGTTGGGAAGAGTGCACCGCAAGCAATGCATAGGGGAGCAGCTGTAGTACACAAAAACACAGCCTACTTTAGACCAGGTGGTTCAAAGATGATTTATTCATACCAAAATATGTTAGGGAGAGAAAAATGGTCTCGGTTACCAGATAACCCAAATAGATATTGTGGTCTTGCAGTTATTGATGGTGTTCTCACTAGTGTAGGTGGTTGGAACACGGATGGTCCCACTAACACTCTCCTTAGTCTCACAGGAGAAGGCAAAAAATAAGCAATGGTCTGAGATATTCCCTCCCATGCCCACACAACGTAGCCATATAGCTTGTGCTAGCATAGGACAGGCTCTAATAGTGGCCGGTGGTAGAGAAGCAAGTGATATAACAGATACTGTGGAGGTGATGAATACCAGCACCACAAGTATGGACTGCTGCGTGTTCTCTCCCACAAAAATGTATATCATTATCTGCCTCTCTCTGTGGACACACCCTCTTTTTAGGAGGAGGTGACATGGGCCTACTTAATGTCTCAAAGACTGTACTAACATGTGATATAACTGAGCTTTTGTTTTATACTGAACATAAACAACAGGAAATGTCCAAAGTGTGGAAAGAAATAAGCAGTTTGCCAGTGACACAATCCACCCTTGCATCACTTGGTGGGGACCTGCTGGCTATTGGTGGGAGAGATGATTCTGACAAACCCACTTCTAATGTCTATAGATATGACTCCCACACTGGATCTTGGATTGTGGCTGGTCAGATGAAGAACAGTCAAACATCCTGCCTTGTAGTAGCTCTTCCAGAAGGCCATCTTACTGTAGTGGGGGAGTTTGCTGTCAACACAACTAATCATGATTTACTTGATGATCTAACCAACAATGATAGGGAAGGAAAAACAAAGACCCCATTTTTGCCAAACTACATTGGAAGAAAGGAAATGGATCATGCCCTGCACCACCATAGCCTGTTATTAAATCCAGCACCCCAACCAGCTACAACTACCTTCGTTCGACATAAAACCGACCCATGTCCCCTATTGTATCAACTTAAGCATCTTGAGTTACGAAACCTAAATCCTGAAAGATACACATTAAATCCACAATTTTTCAACAACAGTATGCGATTGAGCTCCAAGTCAGTCATTTCTTATATGACGTGGAGATTTGGGAAAGTTCTTCCAGAACCAATGCAAAGAGGAATGCAGAGGGGAGCAGCTGTAGTTCATAAGCATACAGCTTACTTCATTCCTGCATTTTCGGAGCAAGTATACTCATACCAGAACATTCAAGGCAAAGAAAAATGGTCTCGACTACAAGCTAACCCAAATATAAATTGTGGTCTTGCAATTATTGATGGTGTTCTCACTAGCATAGGTGGTTGGAACACTGATGGTCCCACCAACACTCTCCTTAGTCTAATAGGAGAAGATGAAAAGCAATGGTTTGAGATATTCCCTCCAATGCCAACACCATGTGAGAGTGCAGTTTGTATTACTACTGAGCAGGCTTTAGTTGTCACAATGTATGGAAAAAGATCAACAGTTTACCGGTGACAAAATCCACTGTTGTGTCATTTGGTGGGGACCTACTGGCTATTGGTGGGGAAGATGACTTTGATGAACCCACTTCCAATTTCTATATATATGACTCCCACACTGACTCTTGGATTGTGGCTGGTCAGATGAAGAACAGTCAAACCTCCTGCCTTGTAGTAGCTCTTCCTGAAGGCCATCTTACTGTAGTGGGGGGATTTTGCTGTCAACACAACTGCTTATGTTGATTCACTTGATGATCAGCCCAGCATTGATTGGGAAGAAGAAACAAGTACCAGATACTTGCCGATGTTAGTCAGAAGTGAAAGGGATCTCTACAATAGTCTATTGTTTGATCCAGAAAACGAACTACTTAAAACTTCCTTTGTTCAACATAAATCCAACTCACAATAATAATAATAATACTCAGGTGGCTACCATAGCACTAGGGCCATAGACCACCACCACCACAAACCAAAATCCAACTCACAAAAGCGCTCGAAAAGATATGCTGAATTACGAAACTCAGATCCTGAAAAAGATACCTTCGACACATACTATGGGCCTTCACCAATTGTTGACACTAGTATGCGACATAACACCAAGTCAGAAAGATATATGAGATGGAGACGGGGGGGAAATACTCCAGAACCAATGCAGAGGGGAGCAGCTGCAGTTCATAGGCATACAGCCTACTTCATGCCTGCATTTTCGCACAAGGTATACTCATACCAGAATGTTCAAGGCAAAGAAAAATGGTCTCAACTACAAGCTAACCCAAACATGAATTGTTGTCTTGCTGTTATTGATGATGTTCTCACTAGCGTAGGTGGTTTGAACACTGATGGTCCCACTAACGTACTCTTTAGTCTCAGAAAAGATGGTGACAGGAAAAAATGGTTAAGAATCTTCCCTCCCATGCCAACACCATGTGAGAGTGCAGTTTGTGTTATTACTGAGCAGGCTTTAGTTGTGGCTGGAGGTTGGGTAGCAGGTGATATTACAGACAATGTGGAAGCATTTGGAACAGGCACTAAATTGTGCATCACAGTCTGTCCTCTTCCACATAAGTTTTCATCGTTATCAGCAACTATCTGTGGCAACATGCTCTATGTGGCAGGTGGCTTTACTGAAGACCTCCATCAAAGTCAGTCCTCAATTGTTCACTTTCTGACCTGTTATGTTCATTTCCTTCAAGTCACAATGTATGGAAAGAGATCAACAGTTTACCGGTGACAAGATTCACTGTTGTGTCATTTGGTGGGGACCTACTGGCTATTGGTGGGGAGAATGACTTAGATGAACCCACTTCCCATGTCTATAGATATGACTCTCACACCGACTCTTGGAATGTGGCTAGTGAGATGAAGAACAGTCAAACCTCCTGCCTTGTAGTAGCTCTTCCAGACGGCCATCTTACTGTAGTGGGGGAATTTGCTGTCAACACAACTGCATATGTTGACTCTAAGCTACGTCGTAGAACATCCCTCTCAGGCAAGGAAAAGATTGAAACAAGTCCCATGCTCTCCAGTACTGATCTAGCAATTCAACCATTGTCGCATCGTCTGCAGCAGCCAGAAGAGAGGAGAATGCTGTGGAGAGAAGAGAAGAATGCACCAGAAGCCATGTGGAGGGGAGCAATGGTTGTGCATGGAGATACAGCTGATTTCAGCCCAGGTTATTCGTGTAAGGTTTACTCATACCACGAAAATCATTGGAAAGAACAGTGGTCTCGATTACCAGATAATCCTAACATAAATTGTGGTCTGGCAGTTATTGATGGTCTTCTTACTAGTGTTGGTGGTTGGAACAGTGGCCGACCCACTAACTCTCTCCTCAGTCTCACAGGAGGAGGTAAAAGAAAAGAGTGGTCTGAAATCTATCCCCCCATGCCAACAGGACGCACCCATGTTACTTGTTTCACTATCGACAATTTTCTGATTGTTGCAGGTGGTCTTGGAGTCAATTATGATAGTATTATAGTCATGATGAATGTAAAAAATATGCAATGGGCCACTGTCTCCTATCTTCCACAAAAAACTTTGCTGCTTACTGCCACTGTATGTTGGGGGAAGCTATACCTGGCAGGGGGAAGTCTTAATGATTCAAAGTCTGTCTTCACCTGTTTGGTTTCAGACCTCGTGAGGCCATTCATTACCAGATCAGAATCCGCTTTCGGAGCAACATTACCGAGTCGCAATATTTGGAAGGAGATCAGCAGTTTACCAGTTGTAGGATCGACACTTGTTTCCTGTGGTAATGATGTGTTAGCTATTGGTGGGAGGGACGAATCAGGCTACAATACCTCTAAAGTGTATATGTATGACTTCTTATCCGACACTTGGACCATCACTAGTCGGATGAACAACCAACGATCTGAGTGTCTTGCAGTCACTCTTCCTCACCACCGCCTCGTTGTAGTGGGGGGATACACCAAGAGGGATATTTTGACAACTGATAGTGTTGAGATTTTCTCAACATCCGTGACCCTTACACCTTCCATTAATTTGAATGTTTCCACTCAGGGAAATGTAGGCTCAAAGATGCACATTCGAAGAAAGCTTATGAGACGCAAGGGGCTTAAAGCCCTTCGCCGTTCCTAATCACTTGATCTTGCTTCAACCACATTAGTCAAATCTTTTTTTACTGCTCCAAGAGCTGCTTCTACAACATCCTTGTCCACTGCAGTACCAAAACCCAGCAGCCTCATGCCAACCAGTCCTGTGCATTATCTTAAACACACCCCATGTTCCATTTCCCCTTCCAACAACACACATGGCAATAAAGGGGCAGTGAGTACATTACAGTGGTGGGAAGGAGAAAATGTGCCAGAGGAAATGTGGAGAGGAGCAGCAGTAGTGCATGAAAACACAGCCTACTTCAGACCAGCTTATTCAGACAAGGTCTACTCATACCAGTGTGTTCATGGAAATGAAAAATGGTCTCGGTTACCAGATAATTGTAACAAGAACTGTGGTCTGGCAGTTATTAATGGCCTTCTTACTAGTGTAGGTGGTTGGAACAATAGTCCTACTAACACTCTCCTCAGTCTGAGAGGAGTCGGTGAGAGCCAAGAGTGGTTTATAATCTTCCCATCCATGTCTACACCACGTAGCCATGTTGCTTGCATCACAATTGAAGAGGCATTAGTTGTAGCTGGTGGTCTTGGAACAAATTATTAACTCCTTGACACTGTAATAATCATGAACACCAACCCTATTAATAATTTGCAGTGGACCACTGCAACTTCTCTTCCACAAAGAGGGATATTTAATGCCACTGAATGTATGGGTATGCTGTACCTGATAGGAGGCAGTCTCACTGATTCAAAGTCTTTCTTCATCTACTTTGCTTTGGACCTCTTCATGTTGTCAGATCAGAATCTGCTTTCGTAGCACCATTACCAAGTTGCAATATTTGGAAGGAGATCAGCACTTGTTTCCTGTGGTAAGGATGTGTTAACTATTGGTGGGAGGGACGAATCAGGCTACAATACCTCTAACGTGTATAAGTACGACTCCTCATCTGACACTTGGACTGTCACTAGTCAGATGAACAACCAACGATCTGAGTGTCTTGCAGTCCCTCTTCCTGACCACTGCCTCGTTGTAGTGGGGGGCACCAAGAGGGATAATGATCCTGTAGAAATTATGTCTTTAGACCTTTCAATATATTACCTAGTAAGACTGATGTCTTCTATAACCAGAGGGAAGAAATAGCTGTTGCCTCTGAATGCTGTACTCTTCCACAACATTTTACCCTAATCTCCACCTTGTCCCACTGCACAAGTGAGGGTAAAATGTTCACAGACGAGGCCAATGACTTCAGTCTGGAGATCCCAGAGGGAGCCATTCCTGAGGGAGAGAGACTCACTGTTGATGTGGCAGTTTCTCTTTTCGGCCCGTTCCAATTCCCAGAAGGTCTGAGACCCGTGTCTCCCGTGTTCTGGGTGTGTGTCCGTGAGCATAGAAACTTCAAATTCTCCAAACCAGTCTTAGTCAACATCCCTCACTTTCTAAATATTGAACATGACGACGACATCACATCTCTAGGTCTCACTTTCCTCAAAGCAGACCACAACAAGAACTCTGAGGGTCTGTACGAATTTAAGCAAACACCAGGAGAGATGGACTTGAAAACTACAAAAAGACTTGGTGTTATTAAAATGTCACACTTTTACTCTCTCTGTCTTACCTCTAAAGACATACCGAAATGTTTAGAGAAAGCATTGTTTTGCATTACAGCAGTATTACCAAAATTCTCAGTACCAATTGGCAAGAAAGCTCAGGCTCACTTTTTAATCACATTCTTGAATCTAAAAACTTGCCTTTATAAAGTCAAGGATATCGTTGAAAGTATGGACTTAGAAGGATATTGCACAAAACAGAGAAAATTCCAGTTCAAAGCGAGTACTACAGCTGCAATAGAGATCGTCATAAGTAATCCATGCTGTGGAATGATTGGGCTGGATGGAAGCCAAAAGGTATCATGGTTTTTGATACTTAAAGACATAAACCTTTCACAATTGACTTTTATTTCACAGATATTTAGAAGTGAAGTGGACTTCTTTTTTAAAAGAAGACTATCGCAGGGAGAACTAGAGTGTCTAAAGAGTGATGATTTCTATCCTCCGCGATTTGACGTGTTCTTTGCCTCCTACCAGGAGAATGCAACACTCAGTGATGGCAAGATTGCCTTCAGAGGGGCCACTAGTAACATTGAATTTAATATCCATCTCGATCTTCCTCACCCTAGGACCCGTCCTGTGGCTAGTCATGCTCCAAGTAAATTGTAACTCATAAAAGTAAACGAATTTATTTACCTACATTTTTATATTATAGCTACAGACACAAGAGATATAGGTTCACAGGCGGAGGAACTTCCATTAGGTATGTATGTACAGCTATGTATATATACAGTGGGTCCCGCTTATTGTCATACCCACGGTGCACGCAAAATTTATGACAATATCCGGGATATTCTATAAAACGGGAATGTTTATAAACACATTTTAGAGCATACTCAAGAGTCATTACACACAATAGCAAAGTTTGTATAGCTAATTAAGTCAGTATTCCGGGGAAGGAAGTGAGAAGAAGTCACGTATAGATGTTTGCGTGGCAGTGTTAGCAAATAGCTTCAATATTTGGCGCTCCATGGTGTAGAAGGTGCCGAGTTCAGTAGCATTTAGCTCCACAAAAGCCCTCACTGTATCCATGGCCTGTTGTACTTCTCCAGGCTTGGGCATTCTAGCTGGAGTAGTCAGTCAGGAGGAGAGAGAACAAAGCCAGCCTTGGCGAAGCAGTTCACAACAGTAGTTTGTTTCACATTTTGCCAAGAACCCTTTAGCATATGCATTGCATCAAGTAGGCTAATATTTTTGCCAAGCTGGCTAACAGTGATGGGACTACCAGTATCAATCACAGAGATAATTCGGGATACAATACTCCTGCGGTACATAGCCTTTAGATTTCTGATAATTCCCATATCACATGGCTGAATAAGTGATGTCACATTAGGAGGGAGAAAGAACAGCTTAATATGAGAAAGCTCATCAGCGCTGTCCTTGGGATGGGCAGCACACTTATCCACAACAAGGGCAACATGAAGATTTTCTTTAGTCATGTCTCTATTGAACTCAACTAACCACTGACGAAATATGCTTGCCGTCATCCAAGCGTTGGCACTGTTGGTGTATGGAATTGGAAGCTGTGGGATACCCCTAAAGCAACGTGGCTGCTTGCTTTTACCAATAATAAAAAGGGGCCGCTTATCCGTACCATCCATATTCACAGCAACCAACGCAGTTATGCGCTCTTTAGCCTTCTTACTACCACTGAGTGCATCTGTGGAAAATGTGAGCGTACCGTCTGGCAAGGCTCGGTAGTAAATGCCAGTTTCGTCAGCGTTGTACACATTGCAGGGCTCATACTTTTCCAGGAGCTCAGCAGACACGGTGGATGACCACTGATCGGCCGCGTCAACATCCGCATCCTTTTTCTCGCCATGGGCCTTCTTGAATTTGATTCCGTGTCGCGATTTCCACCTGCACAGCCAACCATTCGTGGCTTTGAATTCTGGCTTGCCTAGAAGGCCAGCTAAGTGAGTGGCTTTCTCTTCCAGAACTGCACTTGTAACCGGCGCATCTCTCGCTCGAGCATCAACGAACCACTTGTAAAGAGCTCCATCAACATTGTTGGCCTTGCCGGATCACTTTCGCTTTCGAGAATGGGGTTTGTTATTGTCCGCTTCCCCCAAAATGGCGTCTTTGTTCTTCACAATTTTGGAGACGGCTGACTGAGAACACTCAAAGCGCTTCGCGATCTCGATTTGTGACAGCCTTTTCTCCTGAACTAGATGAACGATCTCGACTTTCTGGCTAAGGGTGAGATCTGTACGCTTTCGCTCGGCAGCACAGCGACTCGAGCTCACAGCCATCTCGACTCCCACATACAGAACAGCAAGCCATGTGGTCAATTTGCAATTGCACATGCGTAATATGACAATAAGCGGGGTGAAAACCAAAGGGGCCGGATTTATATACCATAATAAGCGGGATATGACATTATCCATATTCTATAAAACGGAGTAAAATGTATGGGAAAGCATAGTAAATGGTTTTGGATTTCAGGTTTGCATGATTATAAACGGGATATTCTATTAAACGGTATGATATTAAGTGGGACCCACTGTAATACTTGTATGAAGTTTTAAGAAAATCCGAGGAACTCAGAATTTGAAATGAACGTCCATCAATCCATTTGGAACACATTAATTCATGACACCAGATCGTTCATGATTGAATCACTTCCTGTCTAAAATGAAAAGCACTGAAGCGCAAACCCTCGGCGAACTGCGCACGCGCCGTACCACTAATTGATGGGCTGGGCTTTTAGTATGCGTTTACTCGTGGTATCCACGCTAGTAGCTCGCGGAGAGTCTGACACGGACTAGCTACAGTAGTAGATAGCATGCGGGAGTCGATACACGCCCTTCGATGTGACTTCTTGTGCCTTCAAGATACACAGAGCAAGCGGACCCGGTCAAGGTAAGCCTGTGCAAAATATAAAGTGCAGGCGCATTTTCCGCAGCAATAAAAATGGCCGACTACGCATTAGCCGTACAATGGTGGAAGCGCTCTAGCTCTGCAACGGAGCGTTTTCAGAGAAAACCGCTCATAATTTCTGACCTTCATTGCCCGTTAAGTACGCCGCATCGTTTGTGAGACGAACAAACACTCGAGAAGTGAGATGTAGAGTAACAGACAGACACACACACACACACACACAGAGACAGACCCAATGAAAAGCACTAAAGTGCAAACCCTCGGCGAACTGGGGATGCGCGGTACCGCTAATTGATGGGCTGGGCTGCTATTAGTATGCGTTTACTCGTGATCTCCCGCTAGTAGCTCGCAGAGAGTCTGACACGGGCTAGCTACAGTAGTAGATAGTATGCGAGAGTCGATACACGCCCTTCGTTGTGACTTCTTGTGCCTTCAAGATACACAGAGCAAGCGGACGACCCGGTCGAGGTTATAAGCGCATGCGCATTTTCCGCAGCGATAAAAATGGCCGACTACGCATTAGCCGTACAATGGTGGAAGCGCTCTAGCTCTGCAACGGAGCATTTTCAGAGAAAACCCCACATATTTTCTGACCTTCGTCGCCCGTTGGGTAGATGGTAGCGTTTCTGGGACGAACAGACATTCGAGAAGTGAGATTGAGAGTAACAGACACACACACACACACACCCAACTACAGTACCCTCGCTGCGCATGCGCGCCGAGGGTAATGAAAAGCACTAAAGTGCAAACCCTCGGCGAACGGGAAGTAAACGCGGTACCCGCTAATTGATGGGCTGGGTGCTATTGTAGCGTTTACTCGTGGTCTCCCGCTTAGCTCGAGCAGAGTCTGACACGGGCTAGCTAGCTACAGTAGCTGAGAGCGATACACGCCCATCGTTGTGACTTCTTGTGCCTCAAAGATACACAGAGCAAGCGGACTCGGTCGTGCATAGATAAGCGCATGCGCTATTTCCGCAGCGATAAAATGGCGACTACTATTAGCCGCAGATGCCGGAAGCGCTCTAGCTTTGCAACGGAGCATTTTCAGAGAAAACCGCCTTTATTTTCTGACCTTCGTCGCCCGTTGGGTAGATGGTATCGTTTCTGGGACGAACAGACATTCGAGAAGTGAGATTGAGAGTAACAGACAGACAGACAGACAGACGGACAGACAAACCCAACTACAGTACCCTCGCTGCGCATGCGCGCCGAGGGTAATGAAAAGCACTAAAGTGCAAACCCTCGGCGAAGTAGCTCGCATAGAGTCTGACACGGGCTAGCTACAGTAGTAGATAGCACGCGAGAGTCGATAAACGCCATTCGTTGTGACTTCTTGCGCCTTCAAGATAGACAGAGCAAGCGGACCCGGTCGAGGTAAGCCTGTGCTAAATATAAGCGCATGCGCATTATCCGCCAGCGATAAAATGGCGACTACCGGCATTAGCCATACAATACTGGAAGCGCTCTAGCTCTGCAACGGAGCATTTTCAGAGAAAACCCCACATATTTTCTGACCTTCGTCGCCCGTTGGGTAGATGGTATCGTTTCTGGGACGAACAGACATTCGAGAGGTGAGATGTAGAGTAACAGACAAACACACAGACAAACCCAACTACAGTAACCCTCGCTGCGCATGCGCGCCGAGGGTTAATGAAAAGCACTAAAGTGCAAACCCTCGGCGAAGTAGCTCGCAGAGAGTCTGACACGGGCTAGCTACAGTAGTAGATAGCACGCGAGAGTCGATACACGCCATTCGTTGTGACTTCTTGTATCTTCAAGATACAGAGCAAGCGGACCCGGTCGAGGTAAGCCTGTGCTAAATATAAGCGCATGCGCATTACCGCCAGCGATAAAATGGCAGCCATACAATGCTGGAAGCGCTCTATGCTCTAGCTTTGCAACGGAGCAGTTTCAGAGAAAACCGTTCGAAATTTCTGACCTTCATTGCCCGTTAAGTAGATCGTGTCCTTTCTGAGACGAACAAACACCCGAGAAGTGAGATTGAGAGTAATAGACACACACACACACACAGACAAAAACCAACTACAGTACCCTCGCTGCGCATGCGCGCCTGAGGTTAACTA